TTTAATCGTTTCATTTTGTTATGCAGGAACAAAAGCACATTCATAATGAAGTTTCTTTTAGCTTTGGATTTAATATGATTATTTGACCTACTCTATATTTTTATTAAATGTAATGCAATGCCTTTTTTTATATTTAAAGAAGTGGCTTTTCTCTAATCATACATAATCCAAAGTTTACCCCAAGTTGTGTGATTAATCTTTTGGTTTAATGCTTCAGGCTCAATTGAAATAAACCCCCTATGTTTTATCCTTATGTAATAATCAAATTTTGATAAAGATCTTCCATGTTTGGTTGAAGATTTTGACAAGAGATTCATTATGTTCTGGTGGTTAGGAGGGTTAACTTCAAATTTATGGCTTTTGCTTTTAGCTCTTGCAACGCAAAACAAGCTCCAAGTCATGAAGATGATTTTCTAATATGAATTGTTTGATACTTTGGAATTTGGTTAGCAAGAAATGAAAGGGAGTTTAATAGATAAACATTAAATTATTTTATTATATTTATTTGTTTTTCAGATATTTTTTGTTCTCTTTGTCATTTGATGTTGTATTTAGAACATTGAGATTAATTGGTTGGTTTTCATGTGGAGGAAGTTGTACAAGTGAAAAGATTGCAGGTTGATAAAATACTTTGTTGGTTAAAGTAAGGTTATAATAAGTATTGTTTTTTAGTCTTTTTTAACATTCAAATTTAAATGTTTGGTTCACATTTGCACGAAAGTTATACAAATGAAAGGATTGAGGGATTATACAATTTGTATTGTTGTTGATGTTTTCCTCCCAGAAATTGCTAATATGCCCTTGCCCTCACAAAAGATGGCTGGAAAGAAAGTTCCATGGTTTTAAAAAGAACTCTTAAGATTTGGTTTATTTTTTGCTCTTTTGTTATATTGTGTTGTCTAACATTTTGATAACACGAGAGAGACAACTAAAAGTTGAGTTTTTTTTTTAAACTCTTTGAATAGATGGAGACCATACGGAAATTTAAATATGTTTGTTGATTTTAATGATGTTTTTTATTTATAAACATATTATTACAAAATCTATTTCATTACTATTTTAATATTTTTATTTATTGAAAGAAATTTACTTATTTATTTTGTATTGTTAATTCATTTTTGAACATGTTATCTACGGGTATAAGTTGATTAAAAAATTATGGTAACTTCAATTTTAAAGATAAAAATAAAACTAGAATGTGTGTATTTTATTTTTGATTTTTATTAGTGATTTTAGTTTCAATGATTTAGATAGTAATAAAAAACCAACTAAATCAACAATATATATTTGCTTTTAATCTAGAATTATATATTTTAACTTTATAAAAAAAGCAACCTAATTTTATTTTTGACCCAAAATATCAACAATGAATATAAATATATTTTAATAGTATATGATATTATTAATACGTCATCTGTTCTTTGAAAAACAATTATATTCTGAAATGAAACTGTTTGTCATCCACCAAAAAGAAAAGTAATAGACACATGAAAATAATATGCCGAAATAAAGCTAATCTCATCGGTTGTATTGGTTTAAAGTCATGAAACTATTCGGCCTCGGTCGTATTTCATATGTAGTATAATATTATATAATTTTATGAACTAGAGCTCAAAGTGAATTAGTTACATCTTAAATCGATTATTAAATTCTACATCAACTTAATGTTTAACAACAAAGTAGTGTCTCGCAACATTGCACGGGTAATTTACAAATTGCAAAACATGGTTACTTGTGAAATATAGTTTTAGTTTTGAGTTATGAACTATTTTTCAATGAAAAAAATAATTTGAAATTTACAAGTTGCAAAATATTTATGAGTTTCGCAATACATTTTTCAAAGTCTTAAAAACTATAAGAACTTATATTTGCTATGAAAACATTTTGAGTATAATTTGAGGAATTATAACAATTTGGAGATCATCAATAAAATTTAAATGTCTAATTAAAAATTTAAGGATTTTTTATTTGAAAAAAAAAACAACTTCGGAATCTATTCGAATCAAAAAACCGACCAAATTCCAAATTTGTGTTATTTTTACTATCTCTAAATAAAATTGCGTAAAAGTTAGATGTAGCAAAGAAAAAGTTATTATTTTAATGAATATTGTTTTTGAAAGATAGTTTTTTTTTTATCGGCAAATCTGAATACACATATCTCCAACAAGACTTGTACCCGGAGGGAAAACAACACCGATACCGTTGTGCTAGAAACACTTTGGTTTTTTGAAATTTGGTTTTTTGAAATATAGTTGATTTTAGTTTTTTTTATTACCATGTTTTAAGAAATAAATATATACAATTGATATCTTAAGTGGATAAATAAATATAAAAAAGACATTATTATTCCTTTCTAAAACCTTTGGCTACATAATACATACCAAAAACTTTCATTATCTAATATCAGTCATACCATCTCCACGTTGAGCACCCTAAACTCTAAACTCTTAACCCTAGACCGAAACCCCACACCTTAAACCCTAAATCCCAATACCCAAAACACGAAACTCTAAATTTGATGACTTAAAAAGAACTACTCTAAAAAAACTATTCACTGCCCATCAAAAGGAATGTGATGGATCGGAAATATATATATATATATATATATATATATATATATTCACCACACCACTTCTCCCCCCTCCTCACACATACACACACGCACCCTCCCCCCCCCCCCCCACACACACACACACACACACTCTCTCTCTCTCTCTCTCTCTCTCTCTCTCTCTCTCTCTCTCTCTCTCTCTCTCTCTCTCTCTCTCTCAAAACCTTGGACGTTGATGGACATATATATTGTAAATCTCTTAACCATTGGTCACCGATGTAGGTATTTATCTTCTAGACCCAGTATTCTTGTATGGCTAACATTATGGTGTATTGTCCAGAGGGATCTCACGTGCAAATACAAAAGTATTAGTAAAGTCTAACAAAAATTTTAAAAGTGATGGAGTCTATACGAAAAACGTGGTGTATAAAAAGTGTTGTGCGATTAATAATGTATAACCAGTCATGTGTTATTACATATTTTGTGTATTTTTATATAATTCTATTATTTTTGTTTGAACGGCTAACACATTTCATATTTTGTGCCGCCTTAAACCTTTTCTTTTTATCGATTATTTGATGTGTCATGTCACAAATGACACCAAAGTTGGAATCTATTATTTTAGAAATATACTATCTTTGGAACATAACACTTTTGTAAAAGAAACATATTGTCAAAGAAATTATTCGTCACCGCCGCTTTGCGCAGGTCCACTGCTAGTATATATATATATATATATATATATATATATATATATATATATATATATATATATATATATATATATATATAAGTGTCGTTGAAAACGGAGCTAGTATACGAGATATACAATTTTTTAAAGTTTAATTTGTACCCATGAGCATACCTACGTGGAACGCGCATCTAACAATGTGATTCTTCTGGATACAGATGACGTGGCATGAGGAGAGGGGGACACGTGGCAGCTCTTTGTGGCTCATGCGTACTTGCGCGACACACGATCCAAAACTTGCTATAAATAGCAAGCCTCGACAGTTCATTCTGCACACCTCCAAGAACTTCTCTCTCTCTCTCTCTCTCTCTCTCATTCCATGTCACTACTTCCCGAGTGCCTCCCGAGTTCCGGACTCCTAATTCTACCCTACATAAACATTTTCATGCATCAAGGGTGAGTTTCACAACCCCTTTTTCCAACTTTTATCAAAAATTAAGGTGGGGGGATACATGTTAATTTGTTAAAAAAAATTATATATTTCATTATTATCATGGCGTTATAAATATTGTTATTACATAATATATTTTATATCGCTACTCTACCCAAATAGGATAATAGATATTATACTCTATCGTTACTCTGCTAAACATTTAGGATATAATATTATGCCTTGTAGATACTCTGCCCAATTTTCATAAACAATATTATACGTAGTCGTTATACTGACCAAATATTTTGGATAACACTACACCTAGTACCTACTCTAGCCAACTCTCTAGGAAAACAATATATCTAGTCATTACTCTCTCTAGGAAAATATTATACTTAGTTGTTACTCTCATAGGAATAATATCATTCCCTATTGTCACTGCGCTCAACTCAAATGGATAATAGTAGTATATTATGTCGTCAATACGCTCAACTCAAACAAATAATAGTAGTTATTATGTCGTCACTTTGCTCGATCCAAACGAATAATAGTAGTATATTATGTCATCACTATGATCAATTCCAAAAGATAATAGTGGTATATTATGTCATCATTATGCTCAACTTAAACAAATAAGAGTGGTATATTATGCCATCACTACGCTAGATTCAAACGGATAAGAGTAGTATATTATGTCATCACGCTCAATCCAAATGGATAATAGTGTTATATTATGTCGTCACTCAACTCTAATAATAGTTATATCGCCACTCCACCAGTTTCGCTTTGCTAAGAATATATATTTAAAATAATTATATAACAATTATAATTATGAAACATCGAAACTTTAGTTACGTCATAAGTACGCAATTATATAGGTGAAGGTTGGAATGTATCCAACTAACTTGCATCACTACTAGAAAACAACCCTTTAATCACACACAAACAATGACACACGCTGATTTACGATACACATTTTTTGCGTGTCCTAAAAATAATGTCAGTTATCTAAAATTTAAAGGATATAGGAAACACATTTATGCATTGATAGTTTCATTTTATTTACTTCTTTTTATATTTTATTTTAGTATATTTCATTCATAATTTAGTTAATTTCCATGCATATTTTCATTTTTGTTATTTTATGACTATTTCAGGTACTTTCTAGTTTCGTGAGCATAATTGCAGATTTTAAGGAGACTAGCAGAGCGGGATCTTTAGGAGGCGATTGGACTTGGAGGACAAATTGGACTTAAAATGAAGAGAACTCGAAGAAAAATGGGCTAGAAGCTGATCGAACCCAAACTGGGCCAATGGACTAAGCCATGGAGGCCCAAAAGTCAAAGAAGCCCACAATCAGATACCACTCGCGCAACACACCCGTGCAGGGTTGCCCGGCCGCGCACGATACTGCAATGGAATTTTCGGAATTTCATTTTGAAGGCTATTTGAGGGAGGTTGGTGTGCATCTTTTGCACACTTTTACACATCCTACTTTGAGGCTTTTCTCTGGAGATTTTGAAGGTTTTTGAGAGCTTGAACACTTGAAGAAACATCATCTTTTTGCTCTTGATTCTTGCTAAATGTTTGGTACAATCTACTCTTACTTTGTTTCCTTGAGTTTAGCCATGTTAGGCTAGACTAAACTTGGTTGACTTTGGTGAAATCATTTAAATGTTTATTGAACGTTGAATAACTCCATGAACTTGTTCTTGAATATTTATGAGAATGTTTTAGGTTTTAACATCTTATTACTACTTGTATGTTTTTATTCATGAGTTTAAATGTATTTGTGGTGATTAGTTGGCTAATTTCTTGATTAAGTAAAGGATCCTCAAATTAGCAAGCAACAAGTGGTTCTTGTGTTGGTTTTACTTCATACAATCATAAAAACATTTTCTCAAACATGGAAGTGAAAGCATTTGACTCCTCTTGGATTTGGTGACTTTTTGGTTCTTAATGCTAGTTGATTTCACTAATTACATGCTTAATGGAAATCGTGACTTTGACTAAGGAAATTGTTATGAGCTTTTCTAACTATTTTAACAATTAAGAAAATTCTAGGTAATCTCAAGCTTCTTGGATTACTATAGCCAAGTTAAAGATTTAAAACAAGTATTGCACCATTGGATTCTACTGATACGTTCATCAAATGTTTAAGTAAGGAAACCTTAAGTCAACCATCTTTCTCTTATTGATTTTACATTAAACTCTTGTTTATTTTGAATTGTCTATTTAACTCTTAGTTTAATTCTAGTTTTATTTCAAGTATTTCAAAAGACCAAAACCCCCATTTTTTCTTTTATCGTCATTTTACAAGTATTTTTACAAAGAGATTTTCACAGAGTTATAAAATTGAACCAATCTCTACGGATTCGACCCCTTTACCACTATACATGATTTTAGTATAAAAGATTTAGGGTTATTAATTGTTTTGACCTCGACAACTACCATGCATGCCCTAAAATTAGTTTCTAATAAAAAAAAAAATTAAAAACATGGAGGGCACCTATCTTAAAAGGTTGTCGTGTAGAGATGTAGCATTATAATTATTTCAAACGCGCCTCAACCAAAGTATCAGTTCTACTAAGTTCCACAAAATCGTAGGAACTAGGTCTTTTTCAAAGAACAAAAACATTTAGTGCTCTCTGGCCTCTGTAACAATAGATCGACGATCTAGCCTCACGTCGTCAACAACCTCTTTGCTCGCTTCTCCTCCGACGACCTTTGGGGCATTTCTCCTCCGGCGACCTCGGGCTCACCTGACCTCGTCGGAGACTGCTCATATTTCCATGTCGTAGCCTGACTAAGGTATGTTTTGGTTATTCTTTCTTCCTAATGTTTTTGTTCTTTTATTTCTCTAATTTCTCTTCTATTCATACCTCTGATTTTGATTTTGAATCCTCTCGTCTTCTCCTCTGTAAACCCTAACCAGAAAAACTATATAGGTTTCAATCGCGTTTTTCTCCTCATTCCACGATCCCCACTTCTACTCTCTAAGCATCTCAGGTACGCTTCATTCCTTCTCCCTTATTCTCCTTCTTCTTGTTTGATTGATTAGGTGTGATATCCTTCCCCCTTAGTTTTCTGCTTCTCGATCCCATTCTGATACTTGTTCACAGTCACACAACACCACACACACATACTCACATTAACTATTTTGAGCATAAATTTAAGAGTTTGATTTTCCAGACCTAAATTCTAGATTTCATGGACTACAATGGAACTCTACTCTTAATTATGATTTCTTGGCAAAAGCTTGCTGTAAATATGAATCTTGTATGGATTTCCAAAAGTTATGCTAAAATTGAATTGATGTCGATATTAAAATGAGCAATGGATGAATCAAGTGACATTTATACAAGCATCATATAGCAATTTGTTTACAACCAGTTTTCAAATTTCGTTGAACTTTCTGAAGGAATTGGTATGATTGGGTTTAATTTCATTATTCCTTAGTTTTGACAATAGTGATCATTTAATGCTTCCAACTCAAATAATTTTATCCATTATGTCTAATGGATATAAAGTTTGTGATGTTTGAAATTTAAAAATGCACTCATACAGATTAAATAAACTTGTTGTCACAGAAACTTGAGTAAACTGATGCTGAACTGGAATACAAGTTTGTTGGTGTGAACCAATACTATCTCCAAAATCCAAACTGGAACTGGATCTTGACCTGATTCTAGAAATCAGTTGTTGATTAAGAAATCACAGGTATTAATTTATCCCTTCAATATTACAAATTTGCTTTGCTTCCTCGCTTTTGATTCAACATATAATTATATGCCATTTGTATGTAGGTTTACCATCCCAACATTGACTTGGATGGAAATGTTTGCCTCAACATTCTTTGTGAAGACTAGAAACCGGTCCTTAACATAAACACCGTCATTTATGTTAAGGTCCTTAACATTCTTCGCATTAGTTAATAGTTAGTCTCCATGCTCTCGCTTTTCAAACAATTTCTCCCACATTCTTCTCATAAAGAAGGCGAGGTTATTCTTCTTTCAAATTTTTCCCAAAATATATAAATTTTTGTTTTTGTAAGTTGGGTAATTTATAAATTTTAAAAAAGTTTAGACCTTTAGATGTGGATTAAGGATGTTTGTGATGATAAAGAATTAGCACATACGATTATATAAGTGCATTAAGGGAATAAGAGAATCAAGGATATGGGTGCCCTTTCAACATGCCCCTTTGGCAACCAAGGCAAGTTTTTCAACCATGCAAAATTGAAATTACCGGCTTGCCCTTAATTTACATATAGATTGATGGTATTTGATCAGGCATCATTTTTTTACTTAATATTTCAAAACTTATTTTGGTAAGGTATACACTATACAAGGATTTTTCTTTTTGACTTTATTTTTTCTTTTTATTTCTCTAGGCATGCCATCTTTTTCAGATCTTTTTACACATCATTTATTCAGATAAATTTATGGGATTTTTTCGTTTTAAATGTATATTTATCATCATTTACGTACATAAAAAAATATTAAAAAAATGTGTTTTTTTCATATACTAATAGGTACTTATTAACAATATGTTCTTTTGTTAAATGTCAATTAACATGTAAATGTGTATAGGGTTAAATAAGCATTTATGCAACAACTTTTCATTTAGGAGCAAAATATACAATAAGATGGTTGACTTTTTGTTGACTTACAAAATGTTTTGGGGTTACAGATTTCAGATCTTGAATCCATATTTCCATAACTGAATACGTACAGGAGCTGTGATCTGACTCAGTGAAGTTGGCTTTCTGTTGCTTGGTAACCTTCACCTTTAAAATGTTATTATTATTTAATTTATCGATTTATTATTATAATAAGCATATAAAATAGCATTTCAGGGCCGATTCCTGTCACATTGGGCCAATTCCTATCACACTGGGCAAGTACATGAAATAGCAATGTACTATTTCATGCATTTAGGCCTTTTATGGTAAAAATGCAAGAAATAGCAGCATACTTAATTGATTTTACTTGAAAAAAAAACATAATTTACTTTTTCTTTTAATTACATAACTATGTCCCCAAGTGTAGGAAACTTCTAGAAAAAGAGTCGACACTGGTTGAGTTGATGCATCTTCAAGTGGTGAAGTTGCAAGGCTTAAAAGCTGCCATGGAGATTGTCAAAATAGAAATTACGTACTCATGGGTTCCTTTTAATGTTGTATATGTTTTTTTTTTCTATAATAAATATTTGCAAAGTATTACATTTACTTACTATTGGAATAATTATTTGTATTTGACATATTAGTGAAATGAATTTTCTTTCTAATTTATGGTATTTTATTTTGTATTATGAGACTTTTAATGTGGTATTTAATTTCAAAATTACCAAATCTATCAAAATATATAATTTTTAAAACATTTAAAATTATGATACGTAAAAATGTGTGTCATCTTTCTTTATGACATTGCTTTAATGATACGCAATGCGAGTCGTAAATGTGCGTCGTAAGGTTACGACACGTAAGTGTGTGTCGTCTTTCTTTATGACAGGGGATTCAATGACATGCAACACGTGTTGTAAATGTGCTTCATAAATGCGCGTTGTAAGTTTACGATGCAAAAAAGCGTGTCGTCTTCCTTTATGACAGGGCCTTCCTTGACATACATTTGCGTGTCATTTGTGGCATTTACGACATGCAATGCGTGTCATTAAAGGGTATTTTTGTAGTAGTGCATTAAGTTCACTCTCGGTTAGCCTGCTCTTAGGAACACACCTTTCCTTTAGTGTACTCCTAAGATACGGATACACTAATAGTATATAGACGAATAAGAATTATGGAATCCCTAGTACCTATGAATAGTACAATACTATTTTCAAAGCAGTGAATCAAAATACTTTCACAACTTAACAAAGTGATGTACAAAAAGTATTTTCATAGTATAATATACAAAACCTGTTAACTCACCAACATTTACGTTGACATTTTGAAACCCAAACGTATTCCTAGGAAACCAAGAGACGGAAGATTGCACTCCTGAAAGCAATGGTTGATAGACGACGATACCGATGACTTATTATCGTTATAGTTATGCCTACCTATTAAGAGACCTTTTGTATTAAAAACTCGAGAATTTCAAAATATTTTCCGATGTAATGTTTTACCTATAAATGGAAGTGATATTTATGTTATATATCGTTTTGTATTGTTCAATGTATGTTCAATAACTATGATCCAACATTATAACATCACACAACCCGATGATTCTATCGCTGGCCAGGAGTGTGACAGTAGTATAGTATACTCGTTGCTTACAGAGATCCATCAAGTTAGATCTTATAGGATCTTTGTATAGGATCAATATGTGAGGATCGACGGGATGGGTAGCTAAGGGTATAGTTTATTCTAGATATTATTGAAATACAGTTTGGTAACATTTGGTTTTGTAGGCCATTAATTATGGATTATTATCATAAGAATATTCTGGGATTGAAAACTTTATGTATCTCACCAGGTTTCCCAATCCGACCCACTCAATTCATATACATCACATGTAGTAGTGTTAAGACTAGTGGAGACTTGAATGAGATTTTAAGTGATTTAAGAGAAGACATTCAATAAAGTTTAGGACTGTTAGGTCTTTACGCTGTAATTATATTGTGTATTAATTATAACATTCTTAGAGTTTTATTATTTTGAAAAAAACATTTGTACTAAAAATGTTCTAATATATTGGGATTTTCTGAAAACAAAGATCTCATGGTGTTTCAAGCGTAAAGAAAAAGTTTTTTTTAGTTCTAGAAAATAGGGGATGTCGCATCTTCCAACTCAAGAACTAGAAAATCATATAATGGGGAGCCAATAAATGCTGACCCAATTCCTACTCATGAAACAACAGTTCAACAAAGAAGCCATAACTTAGGAAGTAATCAAGGACCACCTCCTCCTCTAGAAATACCAGAAGTCCGAATGGATAATGATTTTAGAGGCATGTGCTAGTATAAGGACTTTTATGACTTCCAAACCGCCATATTTTTACAAGAGAAAGAATCCAGTTGTAGTAATGAACTGGATTAACATGTGGTTGCCCATGTAACTTACAAACCACTTTTGTTGTACATTAATTAAAAAATATGGTGATACATAGGTGGAACGCATTGGGGAAGATGATAAGTCCTAGTGAGCCACTATAACTGACGTGGGCGCAATTCCTAGTGCACTTCAAGCGCAAGTTTTGCTCAGCTTAAAACCTACTAGATTTGGAGAATGAATTCTTAACCCTGAAAAGGGTGACATGTCTGTCGATAAGTATACGAACGCTTTCTCCGACAAAATGGAATTTGCTTTGCCTATTTTCCCCGATGAACTATCAAAAATTGATAGATATGCAAAGGGACTACCATGGGAGTACTTTGTGCTAGTACACTAGGAAAGTACTCTTAATTCAACCATCTAGCTTGCAAAGTTTGTGGAAAGTATGATTAAGGGAAGCACTGCCGATGAAGTTGTGATCAGTGAGAAGAGGAAGTTAAATGAGTGCTCTGGATCCAACAACAATAACAACAACAAAAAGAAATTTTCCAAGGAAAACTCAAACAACAAGTCTGGGAGAAGCCATGAGACAAAATGTTCTCACCAATGTAAGAAGAAACATTGGGGTGACTACGTTAAATTCTTCAAATGCAAGAAGTTAGGGCATATTTCTATAAACTGCCCAATAAAAGGGAAAGTTTGCTTCAAATACGGAGAATGACAAATGAAAAATGAGTGTCCTAAGGCTGAGAAGCCTACCCTGAAGATCCTACCAGTAAAACCCAAAGGGTGAAGCTATCAAAAGACCCTAAATAAGCCAAAGAAGAAACAACCGCTGCTTCAGGTATATTCCTAGTAAATCAGTTCCCTTCCAAAATTTTATTCGATTCAGGAGAAAATCACTCCTTTATTTCACATGAATTTGATAGAAAACTTCTTTGTAGTTATCAGGCATGTGAAGATACAATCAACTTAGAAGGAAAGTTGTTGTTGCACAACTTTAGTTTCAGTGAGTCATAGGGCTTCCCCTCAGCTCAGTCTTTTTGGTTCTTGAGAATGGTCGCCACCTCTCCCAGGACCGGAATGATTATCCCTGCCCGATGGGTCTACATCCATCCCTGAATGTGCTCATGAAACATGCATGATAGTCTTCACTCACAGCAACTTGAGTGCGGATAAGGGGTGGTCTTACGGAATATTATCACAACATAAATTAAAATCTACATTATTGGTAGATGTAGTTGGTGGTAGAATTGTATCTTTTAGTGATGTTTAGATAGTGTAATCATGGACTTAAATGGGAATAAATTTCATAAAGAATTACTACCCTTTAAGTTGAATGAATTTGAAGTAATCTTGGGCATGGATTGGTTGGGTGAGAACAATGCGAACATATTATGTGGAAGGAAGATGGTGCACATTAATCCCACTGGAAGGGAACCATTCGTCGTATACGGTGATTGGAGTAGGGCAAAGTCCAGAATCATTATGATGATGAAAGCCAGGAGATGCCTTACCGAGGGGTGTATAACATTTTTGGCATATGTGATTGATGCAAAGAATGAAAAGAAGTTGATAACTGAAATACTGGTGGTTCATGATTTTCCAGAGGTATTTTCTAGATGATCTTATAGGATTACCAACAGAGAGACTAGTAGAGTTCAAAATTGATGTACTGCCAAGAATAACACCGATTATAAAAGCACCATACCCTTTAGTACCTATACAAATGAAGGAGTGAATGACACAACTCCATGAATTATTGGATAAAGGTTTTATCAGACCTAGTTCATCACCTTGGCTAGCTCTTGTACTATTTGTAAAGAATAAAGACGGTGCGATGAGAATGGGTATTGATAATCGAGAGTTAAACAAAGCTATGATAAAGAATCGATACCCATTACCTAGAACAGATGACTTGTACAATCAATTGCAGGTAGCAACGTTGTCTTTGAAAATTGATCTCAAGTCAGGGTATCATCGGTTGAAAGTAAGAGAGCAAGACACTGACAAAACAACCTTCAGGAAAAGATATGGAGACAACGAATTCCTAGTTATTCCGTTTGGTCTAACAACGGCTCAACAACATTCATGGATATAATGCATCAATTTTGTAAGCATTTTCTTGATAAATTGGTAATAGTGTTCATTGATGAAATTTTGATTTACTCAAATGTCAATCAAGATCATGTTAAATACCTTTGAGAAGGATTAGAAGTCCCGGAGAAGGAGATGCTTTATGCAAGGTTCTCCAAGTGTGATTTTTGGATTCTAGAAGTAAATTTCTTGGGTCATGTGGTTTGCCAAAAGGGTACAATGGTCAACCCAACAAAAATCAAAGTTGTTATGAAAATGGAGATGCCAAAGAGTCCCACCGAAAATCGTAGTTTTTTGGGATTTGTTGGTTACTACCGAAGATACATCAAATACTTCTCTTTTATTGTTGCTCCACTGGCATTCTTGGCTCGAAAGGGAATTACCTACACTTTGAATGAGAAGCAAGTAGTGGCTTTCGATGAACTGAAGAAGTGATTACGTGAAGCACCAATCCTTGTCCTACAAGAAGGGATTGATGAGTTTGTAGTATTCATTGACGCTTTTAGAGTTGGGTTAGGATGTGTTCTCATCCAAAGAGACAAAATATATAGTATTCCTGGAGACAATTGAAGGTTCATGAGCGAAACTACCCAACCATGATCTAGAAGTAGTGGCAATGGTTTTTTCCTTGAAGATCTGGAGACACTATGTTTATAGTGTTAAATACAAATTGCTTATAGATCATAAAAGCCTACAATATATCTTTACTAAAAAATAATTGAACATGAGTTAGGGGCGTTGGCTAGAACTACTCAAGGACTACGATTGTGAAATACTTTATTATCCTGATAAAGCAAATATTGTAGCTGATGTTTTGAGTAGAAAGGTGGATCCAGAGCGTAAAAAAAGAAATATCGTTAAGGATTAAAGTAATATCAATGATTGTATATTAGATTAAAGAAGCTAAGACAAGAGAGTTATCACAGGATAAGAAGAAAGAAGAACATCTGAGCAAGACATTAGTGTTTGAGGAAGACAATAAAGGGTTAAAGGTATTCCAGAATCGTACTTGGGTGCTAAAGATGGGCGGTATGCGAGATCTTCTCATGGAAGAGTCTCATAAAACCATGTATTCTCTACGCCCAGGCAACACCAAAATCTTTTTGGATCTGAAACCCTATTACTGGTGGCCAATAAT